CCCATGATGTCGGTAGACGTTGATTGGGGCTGACGGCGCGGCCGGCCGCCGGCGGGGGCGGGGGCGGGGGCGGTGTCGACGCCGAGACATCAGAGGCTCGGCGTAGGAAGGCCTTCATTACCATTGGACGCCGTATTTTGGCGTCAGCTGCCGATGGGAGCTCGGACACCGCGTCAGCAGTGGGAACTTTGCTACCGCACCGGTCAGAGTTTTGATGCAGCCCCGGCAGTCGGTAGAGAGTCGAGAGCGGCACAGGCCCGGCCTGTGCCCGGCCTCAAACACCGACCGAGTGTTCCCATTCCAGGGGGCGTCCCCCGGTCCGGGCGAGGAGTGGCAGCTCCTGACGCGGCGCGCTAAGTGAGTTGGTTTGCGGCGAGTCGCGCTGATCGGCGGTGACGCGCCGGCCCGTCTCACCGGCCGTGTCCGCGCGACTCCGACGGGCCGGCCGTCCCCGAGCAGGTAATAGACCGTGAACGCCGCTCTGATGACCAGACGGGCAGACCAGCGCCGAAACGCACAGCGCCTGCAGAGAGCCGCGCACGTGCCGCTACCGGAGAAACAGCGAGCGAGCCACTGATGGTAAGTCCCTGTCGAATCCACACTGATCAAACCAGACCAGTCGTGTCGTTTGGGTACTGTCCGACAATTATCAGATAGGAGACGACGTAAGGTCGGATGGATCGATAACATCCACATGGATGATCTGCGAGCGGACAGAAGGATGCCGTCAGACGCTTAGACACTCACGTCCGCACGGATCATCACCGTTGGATGGCGAGATATACACTGTCAGACCCCCGCCGCTCAGTCAGTCAGAGACGGGGGGGGGGGGGTATCGGACCACGGCCGGCGCGCCTACAGATGCGTCACTATACCGCTGACAAACGAGGCCGGTGGCGCGGAGTGGCGCCCGGGGCAGCATCGCTCAGCCGGCCGGCGCTCTGCGGCCAGCGGCCGGGGGCGTCAGCGATACCCCTGTCCGGAGTACATGGGCGCCGGCGTGGGAGCCGCCGGCTGTCAGTGAGTGCCGACTGAGTCCCAACACCGCGGCCGGTGTCAGCGCGGCGCACAGCCCGGCGGCCTGTCTGAGGGCCCCACACCACTGCACCGGCCGGGTGTCAGCGCAGCGCGCACAGCCCACCGGCCGGGTGTCAGCGCGGCGCACGGTCCGCCGGCTACTCGGGAAACCGCACCAGTGAGATCGATGGAGCCAACAGAGCGGCGGCGGCGCGGGCGGCGCGCTGTCAGATATCCGGGCGGCCTCACCTTGTGGGCCCGCGCCCGGTGTCGACCTCTGCGGGAGCCGTCACCGCGGCAGAGTCCGCACTCAGTGCCAGGGGACCGTGGGACTGTCCAGTTGTAACCTGTCCCTTACAAGTCGCACTCGAGTAATGAACAGATATTTTTCATTCGATACTGTTTGTTGTTGCTTTGAAGTGCGATTTATGATGTAGTGATACATGCACCTAAAAAAGGAGGCAAGAGGGAACAAAGAAGAGCAAGCCACTCTAACCCTCCACAATCAGCCGAGACCTTCGGTGTTATCATTTCCGTCCTTATGAAATGACTCCTTTTATGTTACAAGTCCGCTTGTAAGATAAGTTGCGTGTATGCGTGCAAACAACCATTCTCGTTCCTAGCCTGGAACACCTTTCAACAGTCCTTCCGCACCACCCGTCCATTTTCAGCACTTTTAATCAGTCCGAGACCCGAGGCCCAGCGGCCGAGCCCGATATTAACCAGCCGCTACTCCTTAGATCTTCTCAAACCGCAATCAGCGCGGAGTCGCTCCTTCGAACCCGGCCAACAGCGCCAGCCTCCGGCGTCCGACTGCGTATCGACTTCACATCCGGACGGCGCGGAAACTCGGACAGCCGGCCCGCCCGACACCCACCCACACGCAGCGGCCGGCGGCCGCGGCTCAGCACGCAGCCCCACTGCCCGGCGAAAATTACACGGATACGAAGGTGCCGTGACGACAGCTGACGGGCACGGTCGGACTCACTGGCCGCACCACCACACCGGAGGGCCAGGAGGCCACCTGTGGCACCTACGGCGGTCCCGGACGGACCAAGCGCGGCCGCACGGCCCGTACAGCCGGACAATATCCGCACAGCCGGACACGGCCCGCATCACCCTTTAACCCGACTAATCCTTTTCATCTGAGAGAATACAAATACCTACGAGACGGATCATTCTTTTAAAACAGAGCCAGAGCCTCCTTCAACCACTGCCGCAGCCGGGGCGGGTAATAAATATCAGCAGGATGCTCGGCAGTTTACCTCAAACATCCCACCACGCACGTATTTCGCGAGGCTCGGCAAAACAAGTGGTCATCCCACCAGTTGTCCGGCCGCCGCGGAGTCGGAGTCGGAGTCGGAGTCGGAGTCGGAGTGGCACTGCCCTCGCTCGGTTCCTCCGCCTCTCGGTCCGGTCCGTGCCGATCGTTAACTGGCCGGCCGGCAGAGCGGCCGTCCGTCAGCTCGTTAGAGAGCGAACAGACTGGAGACGTCAGCGAAACGGCCCGGCGAGGAGGGACGCGCCGCTCACCCGGCCGCCCGGCCGCCGAGAGCCGAGTCGGCAGCTGACGTCGCCGACCAAAACAAAAGGAACAGCCGATAGCCGGCTTCACTGAGCACGGCACTCGTTCGGTCTGAGGCCAAGAAAATCGCAGATTTGGGGCGATTGGAATCAACGCGAATGAATATGACTAGCTAAAGGGTCGCAGTTCACCAGCAGTACGCCATGCAGGGCCGCCGAGACGAAGTCGATAGTCATGACATGCGACTGTGAGTTTGTAGCTCAGCACTGGTTTCCGCCCTAACACTCGGTGAGAAGAAGCTTTGACTTATCCGACAATTAACAGTCCGATTCGAGTCGCTTCATCGGTCGCTATTTACTCCCACTGCTAACGCGAATAGCCGCTGGTCAGTGGCAGTACAACATAAAATCCGCACATCCGTGGTAGAAATGGACAGCTACATGAATGTATAAAAACAAAGAATGTCTGATGAGATATTGGAGATAATATAAAACAGCACAGAGGTAGGTACCACACGATTTTGGGGGAAAAGTGATAACCTTTGTGATATTTTGTCTCTAAATAAAGTACGGGCTTGCGTTATCCTGTTTCCCGAAGTTGAATGATATCATTTTGTTTACGACTAAACATACTTGCGAAAATGTTGCTTATAACAGAGCCTAGTGAACAATATCTTCGCCCAGCCAATTATCTATCTCTGTCGCAGCCGCTTTCTTTGTGCCATTCCCAGTACGAGAAATTCTGATTTGTCATCGCGACAGTGACGTCAATGCGAGCGACAGTGATTTGTGGAAGCACCAGGACACACATCAATACGAGGCAGCCAGCCGCCGACCGACACAACTCGAACGAAAGGGGCAAGGACAGCCGGTCGCTGCCATGAGCGCCACCGGACGCGCTTTCAGTCACAAATACGTCATAACCATGGCAAAATGGAAGCCTAACACAAAACACCGACTAACTGCAGCCCCCACACTACGATCGTTTCTCTTCTGACGCCTTTCTCTTCTGTATGATGGAAAGGGGATACTGGACGCCACTGGACGGCGCCGGTCCCACTTTTGGCCATGCCACAATCACACACGAGCCGGCAGCCGACGGGCCGTCAGTACAGAGGACCACAGGCGACCGGGAGCTCCGACCGGCTGCTGAAAGACTGAGGCGGCCATCGGGACGCCTCGGACCGCCTCCAGACTGCCGGCTCGGCAGCGGGCTCCGCTGAACCCAGTGGTCGCCGGGGACCCGTGTGCCAGCCGCGGGCAGCGGTGCGTCCATAAGGAGCAGGTGCCGGACAGCCAAATACCCCCAATTCGGCGGCAGGCGGTGCGGTCGGTACCGGTCTGGTGTCCAGATCAGGCGGAACCTCCGGCCGTACCTGTCTACAGGTGCGGTTCGGTCCCGCAGCGGCCGTTCGGACCGGCAGCCCGCCGCCCGCCGCAAGTGACCGGCCCAGCCCGGTCCCACCGGTAGCCCTTGTGGGCGGCGGCGGCCGTTCAGACCGGCCCCGCCGGCAGCCCCTGTGGGTGCCGGCCCAGCCCCGCCGGCAGTCCCGGCCTGAGGCGGCCCCTCGGCCCGGCCCCGCCGGCAGCCCCTGTGGGTGGCGGCAGCCCCTCGGACCGGCCCGGCCCCGCCGGCAGTCCCGGCTTGAGGCGGCCCCTCGAACCGGCCGGCCCGGTCCCGCCGGAAGTCCCGGCCGGCGGCGGCACCGACACCCATTCGGTCCGGTCGGCCGGCCGGCGGCACACCAGCCCACAATCAATAGCACGCCTGCAAGGGCGCTTACCGCTTACGTCACCCCGAAACAGCGGCCGCCGACCCGGTCGGGCGCTGCAGTATAGCCCGCTGCCGCCGCCCCACACGGCGTATCGGGTAACGCAGCTCCACGAAGGCACACGTACCGACTCAGTAACTTACCAACCATGAAATGCACGAGACCACGCGAACAAAAATGCAACCTAATGTCTAATGTAACGGCAAAAATACTCAGTAAGTGGATTTGTCAGGAAACTTATCAGACCAGAGAGGAAGACTCGCAAAGTCTCATAAGAAATGCTCTAAATATCATCATGTGTCGCGTACGACATGGTAGGAACAGGCGGTCACAGGAGCAGCCCGTGTCACCAAATCGCGAAAGAGAGCAGTTCGGCGCCCCGTATTACCCAGTCGCGGGATAAAACAGTGGAGGGTTCAGCGCCCTATACCCCGGGGTCGCGGGAGGGACCGGTGGGGGGTTCAGCGCCCTGTGCCCCGGGGCCGCGGGACGGACCAGTGAGGGTTCAGCGCCCCGAGTCTCCGGGTCGCCGCTGGGAGGTCGGTGAGCCACCCTGCCGGAGGGCGCGGGCCGAGATCGGCCGCCAGCATCGATCAGCCGTCCGCGGGGACCGCCGCCGGCCGGCTCCTGACTCACACGGGACGTTCCAGAAGCCCGGGTCCGCCGCCCCCGCCGGCCCCCACCTACCCTTCTTGGAGCTGCGGATGCTGCCTTTGGCACTTCTGAAGCTCTTGGAGCTGCCGGTGCGCCGGTGCTCGTCCACCACGGCCACGGTGGCGCTGGCGGCCGGCTCGCCGGCGCCGGGCGCCCCGTTCACGGGCGGCGCCGGCGGCACGGGCGCCTCCGGGTCGGCGGCCGGCTCCAGCAGCTGGTCCGAGCTGTCCGAGGTGTGCGCCATCGCTGCCACCGCCGCACACACGCCACACACACGTCCGCCGCCGCCGCGCGCTGGCGCGTCGCTGCGCCCGCGTCGGCGCCGACGACGGGTGCCGCCGCCACCGACGGTGCCACCGGCGGCGGCCGGATCCAGCCGGCTGGTCCCCGGCAGGTGGCGCCCGTTCCGACCCGTCCGCCAGCCGAGCAAGACGTAAATCGGCGGCGACGGCGGCGCGGCCGCCGCCACCCACCGCGCGCCAGGCGGCGACCGACCGTCACCTTCGCAGAGCCGTCAGCGCCAGTGGCAGATGACCGGCGACGGGGCGCTCCGTCGATCGTTCGCAGAAAGGAGCGGCGATCGAGGTCCGGGTCAGCACACAGAAATATCGCCAGCGCTCGGCCTCCCGGAGAGCGCACGGCGCAGGTCAGAGCCGCGCCCGAAACCCCGCAGGCCCAACGCACAGAGTGGCCGGCGCAGCCGTCGGACGGCACAAGGCGACTAGCCACGTGAATTACCCCAGCGACGTAAACTACCCCAGTGACGTCTTACATACACGTCCTGTGTATCACCCCAGTCACATGCATTACCTCAGCCACTTGTATCACCCCAGCGCCAAAATCCCTCTCCACTGCAACCAAACGGAGAGTAGGACGTAAGCAGGAGACACATCTCCTCCTGCCCTGGTAAAAATCTGCATGGCAGCGAGGCGAACTTCGGCGCTTTTTTTGCGCAGGGGCTCGAAAGAAGAGGACCTTGCAGGAAAAGGTCGAGCCAGCCAGTTGCCAGAAAGGACAATTTCCTCATATCCATGGGTGTGCCCACATAGCTTGAGAGCAGCGAACACATATTTTATGAGTGGTACATGTATTAGTTCCCAGAGAATAATCGTTTCGAAACAGAAAGGCATAGACTCGCTTTCAAGACATCCCGAATGCACGACCTATTCAAACCCCCCCCCCCCCCCCCCCCGAGATAAGGCGCACCGAACGGCTAACGTCTGCGACTACTGCCAAACTGACCGGGCAGTGGTTACGACTGCGGCACAACACTCAAGGCTCCAGCCCCAGCCTCCAAACTGGAGCCCGTCGGTTGCCATCAGTTCCCGAGGCTAGCTTCGCTCTATCGGCTAGCCCTCTGTGATTGCCGCCAAGATGGCGTCCCCGACATGCTCTTCGGCGTCGTAACTGACCACCTTCAGCTGACCCGTCAGGTGTTCATTGTCAGACACGATCTCTTCGAGCTCCTCCATCAACTCCCTCATCTGTTGCCGGCAGTCGGCAGCGCTGAGGCCGGCTGGACCGTGATGACGCAGCTTCTGGAGGGTCTCAAGGGCTCCCACCTTGTCCAGCGCCACATCCATCTTGGTCTTCTCGTCGCTCGACTTCACTTCATGCACCTTGAAGCCTCCGTAGCTGCGCTCGTTGCCACCCACTCTTTTCTTGAAGGGCTTCAGTGTTGCAGTGATCTTGCCAACACCTCTCAGTCTGTCCCATTGCTCGGGGTAACTGCCATCCTTGGGTGCAAGCACCACTACTGCTTCAGAGTATAATTTCTCCAGCTCTTCCTCTGGAAAGCCCGCAGGGTTTTCACGTTTGAATTTCTCCAAACGTTTCCGGATGCCATGCTCGCCTTCCATGAGCCTGAGGTAGCCAAAATAATGGGCGTAGGCGCTACCCTTACCGATCTGGCACAGCTGGCAGTTTTCGACGTGCTCATTGGGCGGCCCGAGCCTGGTGAGCAGGGCCGGGGCGATGGCCACGAGCAGCGTCAGCGTGCCCAGCCACTCCCAGGGCACCTCCCTGGTCTGGGTGAGCAGTAGCAGCGCGGCCATGGTAGACGACACGGCCAGCAGTAGCGACTTTTGAGTGACGCAGTCATAGAGGAGCGGTCGGCTGCCGGCCAGCCGGCGGTACACCAGGAGACCGTGGAGGATGGTGGCGGACGCACCGGCAGCCACCGACAGGCAGGCCAGCACCAGAAACTTCAGCAGCAGCTGGCGCAGTAGGGCCAGGGGAATAGTCACGAGCGGCGTCAGCGTTCCCAGCCACTCCCAGGGCACCTCCCTGGTCTGGGTGAGCAGCAGCAGCGCGGCCACGATAGACGACACGAGCAGGAGTACCGACTTCTTAGTAACATAATCGGCGCGCGGTCGGCTGCTGCCGGCCAGGTGGTGGCGCACGTACACCAGGAGACCGTTCAGGATGGTGGCGGCGGCGCCGGCGGCCACCGATAGGCAGGCCAGCAGTAGAAACTTCACCAGCAACGCGCTCCACGGCCACATCTTCCGTCCGGGTTTGGCGGTGCACTGAGGCCTCCGTGGCCACGTCTGGCGCCCCGGCCCACAGAGGGAATCCCCGTGCAGTCCCGGCCCGGCCCAGCGGCGATGAGCGCGGTCGACTGGTTGGTGACGTGGCCACTGGCCAGCTGCCAAGGGCTGTTTGCATAAACATCAACATCCGAGGCCACAGAGCAGAGTGTGGTGCCGGCTCATTCCTACAACGTGCCACCTGCACTACTTGCCCGCACATCAGGCCGGACAAAACGCTGGCACGTTTGAACTGTTTCGCTGTTTCCTCCCCTACATATATGTTGTAGTTGCTTGTTTGCAAGCGACAACGAAAGTCCTAGATGGACGCAAAAAGGTTGTCCCGCGACCCGCATAATAGCAAAAGCAAAGCTGTTTGTCAAAAAATCATCACCAGCGGCACGGCCACGGCTGTGACTTTGTTCCCACTTTTTAACTACAAGGATGTGGACTGTGTTAAGTGGCCGCGTGAAGCTAGTCCACGCCTTCTTTGATGCAATGAGGATCTTGCTTCATACGGAATGCAAGACCTCACCGCACACAAACGGTAAGCACGTAGAATGAATGATAGGTACGCGGGACAAGACGCACCATCGAAAAGAGAGAAACATAAAAGACGCCTCTTTTGGACAAACTAAGCACATTCAAACACCGAATTACAAGTTAACATGACACACTGAACCGGAAAATGCCACCCGTTATCCCTGTTGATGCCTCTGAGGTCATCTCAGGTCACGAATGTTTGTAACAGTTTTTCCCTATAAACTCTTGATAGAGGCATGCTAGAGCAATGAAAACGCCTTAGATGTGTTTGGCTCGACGATCGGATCGACTTATACGCAACACGACTTTTTCCGGTCAGGTCTTGACCTTGACCTGAGGTCAAATTTTCTGAAATTATAGTTCATTCAATGCATATTGACGAGAGAAGCACGAGCTCCTAAAAGTAAGCCTGTGCAAGTTTTGAGCCGAAAGTTATTGTAGAAAAATTGTTCCCGCAAAAATCCTCTATTTTTGGCAGCTTTTGCCCCCCGCAGACCAAACCATTGGCCTTAGGTCAAATCTGAAAGAATTACACAGACAGAGCCTTAAAAGAGCTATCGAATGCGCTTTTCCGCGGCGCTGTAGCTCGATCAGCTCCTGAGCAATGCTCCGGTTTGTCGAAAGTTATCAATTTGCATCACTAGAAGATGCCAATTGCTCACGCCTAGCTTTTCTGTCCCCAGACCGCTCCCTGGCAGAAACCCACCGGGTGAACTGCCAGAGCCGCCTCCCGTCTCCTTAGGAGTGACACAGCGCACAGGCGACTCCTCCCTCCTGAGAAACGACAGAGCCTAGAGGTCACTTCTTCTTTCTGAGGGAGGGAGGGAGGGAGGGAGGAGTAAGGATACGTTCTTGAGGAGTATTCGCTCCTGAGGACCGAGGATTCGGCACAGAGGCGCCCCCCCCCCCCGCGCGCCGGAGCCCACAGCACGGAGCCGCTCCCCGTCAGGCCGAATTCCGTGGCCCGGCGCGGCGGCTCTGCGGGCCTCCGTGGCCGGCGCTGTGCGGCCACCGGCGGCACCCGGTGGTATCGATTTTAGCCGGCGGTTCCACACGGGAGATAGGAGCGGCGGCGGCGGCGGCGCCGCCGCTGAATGGTGACCCGGGTCTGGCAGCGGCAGATCAGGGCTGCGATCGCCGGCCGGCCGGCGGGCACGGCACCGCCCCGGGCGCCGTCCGGAGAGCGGGAGCTCCGGCCCGCTCCTCGACAGGCCCCTCCACGGTCAGTGGCGCTCTCAGCAGACATGGGAGCGCCGACGGACCGCCGGGGTCACGGTCAGCGCCGACGGACCGCCCGGGTCACGGTCAGCGCCCACTGACCGCCCGGGTCACGGTCAGCGCCCACTGACCGCCGGGGTCACGGTCAGCGCCCACTGACCGCCCAGGTCACGGTCAGCGCCGACTGATCGCCGGGGTCACGGTCAGCGCCGACTGACCGCCCGGCTCACGGTCAGCGCCCACTGACCGCCCGGGTCACGGTCAGCGCCCACTGACCGCCCGGGTCACGGTCAGCGCCGACGGACCGCCCGGGTCACGGTCAGCGCCGACTGACCGCCCGGGTCACGGTCAGCGCCCACTGACCGCCCGAGTCACGGTCAGCCCGCATCGCCGGCTGGGGATAGGTGGGCTGCAATGAGGCCACCCAAATGAATTGGTTCGTCGGCAGAGCTGGCAGCTCAGAACCCATGTCCTCTGGACGGTGACACGCCGATAGCAGGTCAGTTCCCCGGCAGCCGACAGCCCTGGGAGGGGATCAGCTCACTGCGACACAACAGGGGTCAGATCCCATAATCTGCACCAGGGCGCACCAGGCGTTGGCACAACGATACGCCAGAGTCAGAACCAAGACACAGCTCGAACCTGATTGCAGTCTGCCCGACCTATATTCCAACATGGTACTCCAGTACATACAAGCACTTCATCGATGGCAGGGACGAGCCCGATGGGAAATTAACCCACGGTAGACATTGCGTGGATCGAACCTCGCTTTGAGAAGAGGATCAAGGAAGAAAATGTCTCCGAAAATAAGTCAAGCGGCACTTCAAAAAGCCCGAGTTAACGACTGAAGAGGATCATTCGCAATCAAGACAGCCGGTGGAGTGCCTAGCTGAGCACCCAGTGATACTTGACCTCGGCGACGGCCCCCGAGGCGGACGGGGGTGGATCAGAGAGGAGGGGGGGGGGGTGTATAACGACGCCCGG